CAAAAATCGACTGCACCAAAATTTCTCGGGAAAACACTTTTTCTTATTAATTTTGGTGCATAGAATCCAAAACAATTCGTACTTTTTCGATCAGACTTCTCAATCAAAAGTTATAGACTAGAAACCAATTTCGAAAGAAAATTCAAAGGGCTGTAATTTTTGAACTAGTAGCCCAATCTTGGAACTGTTTGTAATTATAGATTCTACAGGTCACATTCTATATTTTGCGGGTCGATCTGAGACAATTTTTTTTGAGGGCTTCAAAAAAAGTTATAGACTAGAAACTAGGGAATGCAATACCGGGATTGCAGCATTTTTGCGAGATTAATCCCGCACATAAATGGAGCGGGATCCCGCGGGATTTGCGGGACTGAAGAATTTGTCGACCAAGGGATAGACTCTGTTTACTTTGTTAATGAAACCGATAACGGCGAATTATTTTTTAAATAATTGTTAAACTTTTTTCGTTAAAAATGTACTATGATTTTTGAGGCACTTTAGAAGACTTTTTGTGCTTTACAGGTAAGGTTTTTTTGAGTTCTAAGTTAGGCCGAAGGTACTTTTTTGTTAAATATTGTGATAATTAGCGATTTATTTTAATACAGAAGTTAACCGCACAGAATTGCTTATTTGCCAATTTATTTAAAGTTTTGCGGGATCCCGCAAATACCGGGATCCCGCGGGATTAACATCTAACAATCCCGCAAATGCCGGGATTGAGATTTTGCTGCGGGATTGCATTCCCTAAGTGTACGGTTTACGAGACCCTACAGTGGAAATGAAAAAAAAACTCATCCTACATAAAACACTCGATCCCTTATCGTGATCGGATATATTCCCTTATATCTCCAGAACGGGTTGTCGAAAGAGGGTACTCACAAAGGGCGATTGGGACCTCTAATAAATATATTCATTCTCATTGGCGATGTCAAAATTTTAAGAACGAATATCTCGAAAACGGTTTGTCTGAGGAAAGTACTCTCACAGGCAAAATGAATCGACTATTGGCGAAGTCGGGGCTTTCAGTGCAACTATCTGCAGAATTGAGTGTCGGATGATTTTGAAATGTTTATGTCTAAAGAGACTCCTCTCCTTATAACCCCACCATTTACTAAGCTATTCCGGTTTTAAAAAAATGCGCTTTATCTGCACAATTTATAGTTGTTTATTTCTTAGCAAAATTACAAATTACAGTCGGTGGTTAATCTAGAAATGAAAATCCTGTATAAGTTAGTACCATCAATTGAATCATTCCATATAGATGACATAATTAGCTCTGGAGGTTGACGTCAAAACTTTATCTGCTGCTGTCATTTTCCTAATTCCTCGTCGTGGGGAAATGCGCCAACGTCATATTTTCATGTGCTTGATCAATGTATGATGAGAAAGTTCGCTAACTTTATATAAAAGGGATAACACCTAACTACAGACTCGGATTTCCTTTCAAGGAATTTGTTGTTTTTTTGGCCTAATTACGAGCTAACTGTGTTGTTTGGGAGATATGTTTTTTGTGGTTGTTTCGGTAACTTTATTTATCAGCAAGCCTTCGATGTGCTTCTGAAGCGCACATCTCTTACGTATAATTAAAATCTAAACGCTGATTTTATAACAGGAATTAATTAATCAAATAAATGAAATGCGCTACACCTACCTACCTGTTGAAGTATAAAGCTTGCTTTCAGTTTATGAACAAAATTTTGTTGACTAAAAGTTAAAAGCGTAGTATAATATTATTAAAAATTCCTTGTGTGAAAA